AAATTTTCTGCGCAATTTTGTATTACTATTTTTAAAGAATTCTAAGTAAATAAAAAGTATCTTTACAACCAGTACGTTTCCTGCCCTTCCATTTTTAATTTCCTTAATCCTCCTTCGATGAAGCAGATAAGGTGAAGTTGATGTTATCCTGGAACTAGATACCTCCTTCAGCTCGGAAAATGGATAGTTAGGTTGGGTCAGTAAACCACATCACATTCAGCTTGCAGTTTTATAAAAGTGGAAAGAAAAAATGTTCTGCTTCCATTATCTCTTCATTAAACTACTTATCCTATACCTTTATACAACCGTTAATTATTGCGTAGAGTTCACAGATTTTATTCGCAACCTTATATGTCCCCAGGGACGCCAAAAGCGATGAGGCTCAAAAACACCTTTTCGTATCTCTAACTCGTTTCCCTTTTAAAGCACAAAATTGAATCTTTGGTCACTTATTGCTGCCATGTTTGTCTTTAATTTGATTTTAATGATTTTTGTTTTCTCTTAAAAAATTATGGGAATATCACTTATTGGAACCTTAGCGTAAATAGGGCGCTTTTGTAACGTAACTGATTTGAAGACATGGGTAACAAAAAAAATCACAAAAAAATAACAAACCATAAAATTCTTACCAACTTTCCATCATTAGGTACCTAAGTGATTACTTTAACTGCCAGGAAAGTTTCATCACATTTTCGTTAATTAGAGTGCCATAATCGACTTTGCAATTAACGGGCTTTTTGCGAATCCTGAAAACTTTCATCGACATGAAAAGTCATACACATACACGGCAGATTTTTTTGAGCGCAAACATCTCCAATTTAAAAGGCTGTGGTAGTGGAGAGAATCGTGTAGCATATAAATGGTTAGCCTGTGTACAGCCGCCCCTTACCTCAAAAAAATCGGAAAGGAGCGTCTGTGATTTACCGTTGATAATCGTGTTCAGGAATAATTTTGCATAAATTATTAAAAGTGACTTACGCTGACCAAAACTTCCGAGGCTCACATTTACGCTGACCAAAACTGCCGAGGCTCACATTTCTGTAGAGGATTCCAATATGACGGTCGATGCGAGAGAGTTCCGTCGTGCATTAGAGAGTGTTTGCGACATTTTTAAAATTCCTTCGCTTTACAGCGAGCAAGAAAAATGCTTAGAAGCACTTTTTAAAGGAAAAGACGTATATGCAAGTCTTCCAACCAGTTACGGAAAGTCCTTGATCTTCTATGCAGCTCCGATCGTCGCCGATGAGCTGTTCTCGCGACCACGTGGAAACAGCAAAATAATTGTTATTTCACCTCTAAGAACGCTAATGGAAGACCAGGTAGCATATTTGCGGTCTTTCGGATTATCAGCAATTGCTCTTCACGATGAGCAATCGGACGAACGACTGAAGGAAGTGGAAAAAGGAGCGTTCACTTACTTGTTTGCATCACCGGAGAAAATGAGGAGCGTGGAACGATGGCGCAAGCTTCTCTTAACTGAACACTATCGGAAGTTTCTAGTGGCGATAACTGTCGATGAAGCCCACTGTATAATCCAGTGGGGTCTTCCTGGATCTTCCTCAAAGCGCACAGCTGTCCCTTTCCGAATTTGGTATGGAAACCTGGGTGAACTCAAGTCACTAACCGTAAGTAATGTTCCTTCTATCATTGTGACGGCCACCGCTTCACTATCAACTAAAAGAGACATTTTCAGGGCTTTGAATTTAAACCAGTCCTCATCCTTCATCATGGATCACAGTCCAGAAAGGCCCAATGTGCAATTCAGTGTGCGTTATTTGGATAAAAACTTTCCTGTTTCTTCAATATTTAGTACCTTAATAGATGAGCTTAGAAGTAAAAACGTGTCCTGTGAAAGAACAATGATTTTCTGCCAAACTCGCAAGCAGTGAGGTTTGGTGTACTCAGCATTTAAAGAAAGCCTCGGAGTTGATTTTTATGTTAATAAACACCTTGACAGTAAGACGAGAATGGTGGAAATGTTTCATGCTGGAACACCCGAGGCTGTGAAAAAGCACATTCTTTGTAACATGTCTCAACCCAATGGCCACATTCGAATAGTAGCCTGTACTGTTGCGTTTGGAATGGGGGTTGATTGCAAAGAAGTTCACCGTGTCATACATTTTGGCCCTTCTAAAAACCTTGAATGTTATGTCCAAGAATGTGGAAGGGCTGGTAGAGATGGACAGCCAAGTTCATGCCTTTTGCTGCACAATGGGCTGCTTGGGGCACATTGCATGCATGACATCAAGGATTTTGTTGCTAATAGTACTGACTGTAGGCGTACTTATCTATACAGTCATTTTCCAGGGAAATTTACTTCTTCTGTGTCTGGTCACCAGTGCTGTGACATATGTGCTAAAGCATGTGGATGTCAACAAGAAATTTGCCAGGAACCTGCTATACTAGTTCTGGATGCTACCGAAGATGAAAACCTTTCTTCTGAATCTGTTCGTTCAGTTGAAGAAAATGACAAGGTACACCTCAGGACGGAACTGTTCAA